TATTTGGTGATGTTGTAAGGTGGTCGAAAGCGCTTTGGGAACGACGCTTTCTGGATGCGACGGCCAAAGGCCTGTGGTCCCGGGCCATCTGGGCTGGGACTCTAGTCATCTGGTTGACGACCATGCCTAGGGTGCGTTTCCTCACTCCCCTTGATGGTCCGGCCAGGGCCCGTGCCGCCTGCTCTCACCGCCCCATGATCGACGTCATCATCACGCCGGGCTTAACGCTGATTGTTGATGAGGCTGTCAGCATCTCGGTTCGGCCTGAGTCGTTCGCACACCGGTGGTCGGTGTGGCGCGGGCACCAGGTCAGGCCGTGGTGCAGCTACGACCTCCTGTAAAATGCCCGGTGACTATAGCGGTGAGCGGATGAAGCGGTTTGACTAGTGCGCCCCCATTCCCCCGGTGGGGAGAGACGCCGCGAGTCGGTGTCATGACGCGAAGCTCTCCGCCTGTTGGATGGTGGTGGTTTCCACCAGCGCTCGGAGGTTCCGGTGGATCGCCTGCTCCTGGGGGTCGTCAGGCTTGGGAAGGCCACACAGAAGCATCGCCGCAGCAGCGATGTTCTGGCTAGCCCGAGGGAACTATGGGGGATCATTTCCTCCATCCATGATGTTGCGCTAGACCTAGCATGTGTGACCCTGGGCGCTGCTCACCGGGTTACGCGCGTGTGGCGCAGCGTGCTACACCGAGTGCACCAGCACAGGTGGCGGCTGGCTCTGCCGCCTTCATCGTAACTCCTCGCCGTGCTCCTGTGTGTGCGCGAGGGCCTCCGCATGAGGGTTCGGAGGGGTGTGAGTTTGTAGAGACTACGCTATCACCGGCGGCTATCCCGAAGCGTCCGCCATAGCACACTCCCAAGACAGAGGGTGGCTAGGTGCCACGACATCACCGATGCTGGAGCCATTGCTTGCAACCTCGTCATCCACGAGGTCGTGGAAAGAGGCCGGAGCGTAGCCCGCCATCCCCACGAATTCGGATGTGAGAGGGGGCGGCGTCAGCATCTTTCCGGGCCCCTACGCATCCGCGTTCGTGGGGACGCGAGGCCGTAGGGGAACCAGTCGCACGACGATTGCGGTGAGGACCACGGGGTCCCTCCGGAGAGTCTGCAGAAGATATTAAATAGAGAAAAAAACAATATGTACGTTACTCACTGTGGGGTTTGAGCCCTGCGTGGTCTCGGAGCAGAGCGCAGGTGTCTCGTTGTTGAGGTCGCCGAGTGGCCCAGATCCGACGGAGGGCGCTCCTCCTCCGACGGGCGCCGGGACAAGTGCCTCCTCGTGGAGGCGAAGCACGCCGAGCCGGTAGGCGATGATGTCCAGGCTTTCAAAGACGAAAGTCTGGGACGGCTCGAAGATGGGAGGAACCCACATCCCAATAGGCGGGAGCGTGGGAAACTCCAGCGAGCTGAGGCGAATCGTATCGCTTGAGCCCGTCATGATGAAGATGGCGGAAAGGTGGGCCATCCGATGACCAAAAGCGTGAACGTATGGCGTCCTCTCCACGGACGGTGCCAACTGTCGGTGTGAAAAGTGATCAACAAGTAAATATTTATAGTTTTGCCGTGCGTTGTGGTTGGATGTGGCCTAGCACTCAATGACACAGGGTTTATACTCATTCTGGCAACGTGCCCTACGTCCAGTCTTAGTCGGTCGGTGACTTTATTCCTAAGCCCAGGTGCTTGAAGTTTGCTGTGGGGTTACAAACGAGTGGGAATAAGAAGGGGGGTATTAGAGATCCGGTCGGACTCTAGACCGAAGGGCCAAGAGTGATAGGAGCTCCTACGTGCGCTAAGTATTAGAATGTATGCTCTATGTAGCTTTAGACTTCTAGAGCCGTGGAGTTGTTTGAGTGCTCAGAATGTCTAAAGCCTAGAGCAGAGAGAGGGAGTTCGAATCAACCGTCCTCCTTTTAGGAGAGAGTGCACCCCCTTTTATAGATGAAGGGGACGGCCTTACAAGTTTAGAGAGAGAGAGAGTGTGTGCGTTTCCTAGTCTTATTGCCCACACCGTCGGGTACAAGACAGTTTGTCGGCGCCCATAATATTGTTAACGCCTAGATGCATGTGGCAGTCTCCATCATGTTCTTCTGGTATGGCAAATGTCGACGCCTACCATACTGTAGGGCAAATGTCGGCGGCCACAACACTATTCATGTTCTGACATGTCTGAAAGGTTGCAAAGCACCCTTTTGCCATGGCCTAGCAATACTGTCCTGTAGGTGTGTAGGGTACGGTCCTCGGTATTGCGGTTGACTTGAGCGCCTTGCCTTATCTGCTCCGCTTGATTCTTGGGTCCTTACCGAGCGGGCGTCCCTGGTCGGTCGTTCCCAGTCGGCTCCGACCGCGCCAATCGGAGAAGAGCCGTAAGCAGAGGTTCGGTGTATTCGTCGGAAAAGCGGATCGGAGTCGGAAGCGAGTGTCGTCCCCTCCTTGGCCAAGCCTTCCGGTTGGGAAAGTGGGTCTGGAAGTGAGCGTCGTCCCCTCTTTGGCCAGGCCTAACGGTCGGAGACTGGATCGCTCTTCCGGCTTGTAGTTAGGTATCTGGGCCGGCCCAGGAGTCGCACGTTGTTGTAATGCTGTCTGCTGGGCCAAGTTTTTGCTGGGAAGCAGGCCCATCGGGGACCCTGGGTTTATGAACCCGACAACCAGCGTCGTCGAACAAGAGTTTGCATCTCTATCACCCTTTACCTTCCGCATTTACTTTGTGTACCTTGGTTATGTGCTTTACCTTGTTAGCTTAGTTGATTGGCTAGTAGATAGTATTAGAACATAGGTTGCATAACTCTTTTATGGTAGAGATAGCAACACACCAAGAAACCTTTAGATGCACATCTAGATAGTTTATCATTGCATAGGTTTTACTTAGCTTGAAATTAGAGGCTATAGTTTAGAATTAGAGTTTTAATAAGTTGCGTAGATCAGGGTTTACAATTTCGGCGAAATATCGCCTTTTTCGCTAAGGTCCAAAAATTTTTTGTATCGATCAAAATTTTTCGGTTAAATTTGTCTTTCACTCTAAAATTACACCCACTAGTGGAGGGACCGGTTTTACTCCCGGTGGAGAACCTCCTCTAGTCCCGGTTCCCCATCCGGGAGTAAGCATCTAGGACTAAAGGGGGTTCCTTTAGTCCCAGGTCGGGAACCGGTACTAAAGGGGACCTTTAGTCTCGGTGCATAACACCAACCGGGACTAAAGGTCCTCCCAGCTTTAAAAAAAATAATGCCTCCCACCGCTGCGTCCCGTGAGATTCGAACCCAAGACCTCATGCATTGCCTCGCGCGTAGCTTACCACCCCACCTACACAACACATCTAACAATGGATGTGATGCTTCCCTTTTGAACTAACCCATCGGGGGATATTTAGTCCCGGTTGGTGTTACCAACCGGGACTAAAGGTTGGAGGACTTTTAGTCCTGGTTGGTGGCTCGAACCGGGAGTAAAGGTCCACCTTTAGTCCCGGTTGGTGTCTCCAACCGGGACTAAAGGTCCCCTGCCACTGTGCCGAGCGCAGTAGCCGTTGGGCAGGGACCTTTAGTCCCGGTTGGAGACACCAACCGGGACTAAAGGTCTCTCTAGTCCCGGACGCAAAAAATGCCGGGACTAGAGCCCATTTTAGCCTCGGATGAAAAGTCTGTTCTCTACTAGTGACCAAACCACACTAAAATGACCCTCCATATCATCTAGTCTTATTAAAGCCCTAAATTTCTTTAAATTTATTTAATTTTTCTCACTCACACATTGGACGGCACTAGTATATGCAGCTCGCCCACCGTCAGCACACTATATTACCGCGGCTCTGTGATATATTATGTTATTTCGTCGATGTTATATAAATTTATGATGGATGATGGATTATAGAGTTTTTCTAGTGAAATGATGCCAAATTTGTTTAAAACTCAATTTAAATTTATTTAAATTTGAACCGATATTTCTGAAATTTCGTATTTATTGCTGGGGACCGAATTTTTTTTCTTACCGGTACTGTAAACCCTGGCGTAGATCACCGCCCCTCTTAGCTGCTCCGCTCCAGGTTCACTGAAAGTCGTGATGCGTATATATGGCTACGTAATCTCAAATGTGGAGACGGCCAAACAAGTGACGACGACGAAACACTGAGGTCCCGTACCTCTGGATGCAGAGCATACTGCTTGTGGCTCATAAGACCTGCGTGGCACCACTACAAACACATGCTCGTCGCCTGCATGAGCGATGTAGCAGCCGTAGCTGCACAAGACAAGGACCAGAAGCAGAGGAGAAGCCATGGAAGAATATGTGTATTCTGTACAAAGGAAAGGATTAGGACCATCTAATAACTTATCATAGATGAATTATATAAGCACGCCTCAACTTGGATTCGCAGATATCCGCCGTGAAGCTGCGAAGACTGCTAAGATTTCCGATTGTCGTTTGTGTTGCTGCTTTGCCACGTATCGCATCTCTTTCGTTGTAATTGACATGCAACTTTGAATCCTCAATCACTGCCATTAAGAATTTTGAGCATAGGTGTCTTCACTGCCGGGTGAATAGCTTCCCTCGAATTTTCTAAATCGTAGACTTACGCATCGTTAATCAATCATTGTCGAGCACAACCAGTATTGATGTTTGGACAATGATCATGTGCTCTGACATAGTAAAACCTAAAATAATTTGACTTAAGATGATTATAGAAATTGGATTATTTTGGCATAGAGAGTACGTTTGGCTTATAGCTCCGGACCATCGATCATGCGCCAACCCTTGCATCCGCCGGCCCGGCCGGTCGAGCAAATTGAAGGAAACCAACCTTTGCATCGATTGCATCGTGGTGTTTTGGTCACCGTCGGGGCGACGGGTAGATACAAAAATGTATCTTAGTTTCCTCAGCCAAACCTGATGTTCTCGTTTTGCGAGGCATAGCGCGGCTATTTAGTGACCGGATCACGAGTCCACCCTCCATCAGCTCCACGGAGCCCTCGAAACCGGCTGTAGCATTAGCGATCGCTGCTGCACCTGCACGCAATGGCCTCGCAACGGTCGCTGGTGAGTGTGCTCGTGCTCTGCCTTCTCTGCGGCGCTTGTGCAGCGGCGAAGCGGCGATACCTGTCCGTCAGCATGGACCAACTGCTGAGGTCCAAGGCTCACCTCGACTGCCCTCCCTGGAAGAAGTCAGGTACGGACGAGCATCGAACCATCATGTACTAATAACGGCCTTGCGCCACAAAATTTGTTGTATGAACAACTCTAAAGCTTGCAGCACAGTTGCAGCATGTTAGTGCTACACATGCTACCCGTCAGGCCAAGCTAGAAGTTATGTAGTGTGGTTATTTCATTTCGAGGGGCAAACGGCTATTCTAGTCCGGTTATGGAGCTTCAACGGGAGCGAGGCCATCTACCGATTTTGCCCTAAAATATAAAAGGACTGTCGATTTATTTTTGAAAAATTGTTAGCATTTTATACTGTCAATTTAGTATTAGAATATACTGATTTCCTAGTGAGGCCATCTATCTTATAGCAAAGTAATGTTTAATTTACCCTCTTAAACTTATCACTGAATATAAAAAGCATCCTCGCACTCAAATATCGTACAATTTACCACCTCAGCTTTCAAAATCGGATAAAAAATCCCCTGACCATTTCAATGTGGTTTCGAGGGTGGTTTGACTTAGACATGGTGGTGGGACACATATGTTGGGTGGTCTCTCCTTCTTCTATATCTAAGAATCTTAACATTTTCATATTAAGTTGGATGAAACACAAACTTTATATGAACTGTAGAACTCAATGAGATCTATAATATTGTAGAAACCTTTTTTAGATGATATTTTTTAGAGGCTTAGATATTCGTGTAAGCTATTAGATTTTGAAATATAAAATTTTAAATTCTTTTTTTTATTTTTTAAATGACCTCACACGTTGGCATGGTCTATACCAATTTATTTGTCTCCATACGGTCTGTAACTTTATGGTTGAGAACCCTTTTTTGAGATCGTTTAGAGGCGTAAATATTTATTTTAAGTTATCTAGATATTAAATTCAAAATTATAAATTTTCCAAACGATCTCGTTTGGAGACACGCATTGTACCTTGTAGCGCTCGAAGACATCTAAAACTTTCTAGTTGATTTTTTATTTCAGATCATTTAGGAGCATGTGACAAAACAACGATCGAAATCACTTGCCGCATGTGAGATCTACATGATTTTTTAATATGGCATGACAAAAAAAAATGAGGACATGTGAGATGTGTTTGCCGCATGTGTCAAAACAACAAACAATCGAAATCACTCTGAACTAATTTATCCTATTTTGAAAGTTAATAGGCTTGAGAATGTTTTTAACACATCCGCTAGAATTCAGTCGCTTGAGAACTTAGGCAATGAGTTCATGCTTTGTTAGCTGAGCTGACGTAAGCAACAAGAGAAGCCTGACCGATGGCCAGCAACGTGGCCTGATCATTTGCAAAAAAAAAAGGAGGCGTTTGTATAATAGCAATTCCCTTTTGTTAATTCAACGACAAGTTTAAGGGGCAAATCGACTTTACACATTGAATTATGTATACTGCAAGAAATCTTGTGATACATAATTACATATTGAATATAGATTTTATGACAAATTATCGGAATAAGTATCCTGACGCTTTTATTTGAAAATATCTGGATGCTACAAATTATCCGAGTAAATAACCAGACGTGATATCTCCACATTTATGAAGCTAAATACATGATAAGTGGCCATGCCTTGACCTTTCTCTCCATGTCAAATATGGTAAATTTTGGTTAGAATCTTGAGATACCACTAATAAGGTTGCTATGAAAACAGTTACCGTGCAATCACTCAAAGAAGAAATAATCCATATTAAAACACTAAAAATGGCCTATTAAAAACTCTAAAATGTTACAGTGGTTGCTGATGTCATAAATATGCAAATAAATAAGATTAAACTCAATTTTATTTGTAAAATTATCATAAATTATCCATGTTTATGTAATATATGAATGTGATGTTGATTTCACAAACAGAAAATCTGGAATTTTGAATATGAAAAACATATGCATGAAATTTAGAAAATAGATCTCTTGTCCCTATATACTTGTAATGATAATAAAAAAGGGGATTGAAGATTAAAAAGTTAGCTCCAACAAGTCTACTTTCCAGTTCTTTTTTCCTAATTTTTTTCTTAATTTAGAAAACTCCTCTTGTAATCCTTCAACGAAAGGAGAGAACAATTCATCCCTTTCCCTTTCCCCCGGACGCCGAGCCACACCGGATGGGTAGCAGGCGAGGAGCAACCGGGCCATCCCCAAAGAAGTTGTCATGGCAGAGCATATGGGCCACCCGTGCAAATGGGCATACGGATCTACAACGAGAAGAGAAGCTAAGAGAAACGAGAGCACAGGGAAGAAAGGAAAGATATTTTTTACTAAGCGATATGTGGGTTCCATGCCTAAAGGAAGAAGAATCACAATTTGCAAGAGTACATCTCCTTTATTATATGTAGTTATGTTTTCTTAATCCTCTTTAGCCTGATATAGGGGATTAACATTTCTCAATCAAGTGGAGTTACTCGGAGGTCCCAATAAAATCTTGAACAAGCTCAATAAGTAAACATTATTAGGCAATTTTTTAGACAATAGAAGGAACATGGGGGTTCATCATCTACGAGCACTACGGGAAACCAAGATTCCCCTATCGGGTTGTCTTGAACCGACAGGAAGATTATACATTGTTATGTTGGTTAGAAACTGACAAGGAAAATTGAAAACCGACAGAACAATTCTGGTTTCCAGTAGTGGACGAGTATCTTATTAAAAACATCACTTCAACACATACCGTCAGACAAATGAACAGTTTACTGATGGTTCGAATGCAGTACCTGCTTACTGGTACATGGTAATAGACAACTCCATAATGCATACTAAAACTGGCAAATTGATTTTTTTTTTTTTGTCAAAAAGAAAGCAATATTAATAAGCGGGTCCTCCAGAACCAATTTTCAGTTCAATGTGTAGAACCATTGTTTCAGGTTTGCAATATACAAACACAGCTGATCGATAATATTCATGCTTAACGTGTACCTGACTCCGTTTACTGCATGCCAATGACCCACAGTGACATCTTCTGGCAACAAGCTCACAATCCCAGCAGTCTGCGGGCTTCCAGTTCCTCCACCGAAATGTTGCGACGCATTTGTGCGCCACGTCCTCAACCACGACATGAATCGGCTGAGCACACTCGTCCAGAGGTCCTCCGTCTCATCATCAGCTGCCGCACCAGCTCCATCGGCAGACCCCTTCCCCCCGGGATTCCCTTCGGTCCAGCTCCGTCGCCTCGCCCTCGAGGAATTCCGTTTTATCCTCCGGTGGCGCCGCCAGCTGAGGCGCCCGCCGTGACGATCCCGGACAGCACCGGGACGTCCCTCGACACGCTGGAGTTCGTGGTCACCGTCGGCTTCGGCACGCCGGCCCAGAATTACACGCTGAGCATCGACACCGGCAGCGACGTGTCGTGGATCCAGTGCCTACCCTGCTCCGGGCACTGCTACAAGCAGCACGACCCTGTCTTCGACCCGACCAAGTCCACCACCTACTCCGCTGTCCCCTGCGCCCACCCGCAGTGCGCGGCCGCCGGCGGGAAGTGCAGCAACGGCACTTGCGTCTACAAGGTCGAGTACGGCGATGGCTCGTCCACCGCTGGGGTCCTGTCCCACGAGACGCTGTCGCTCACCTCCACGCAGGCACTCCCCCGGGTTCGCGTTCGGATGCGGCCAGACAAACCTCGGTGAGTTCGGCGGCGTTGATGGGCTGGTCGGCCTCGGCCGCGGCGCGCTGTCGCTGTCCTCGCAAGCCGCCGCGACGTTCGACGCCACCTTCTCGTACTGCCTGCCGTCGTACGACACCTCGCATGGGTACCTCACCATCGGCTCCACCACTCCGGCCTCCAACGACAAGGTGCAGTACACGGCGATGATACAGAAGAAAGATTACCCGTCCTTGTACTTCGTGGAGCTCGTCTCCATCGACATCGGCGGCTTCATCTTGCCGGTGCCACCGACGGTGTTCACAAAAGACGGCACGCTCTTCGACTCCGGCACCATCCTCACCTACCTCCCACCGGAGGCGTACACTTCGCTCCGCGACCGGTTCAAGTTCACCATGACGCAGTACAAGCCGGCGCCGGCGTACGACTCCCTCGACACGTGCTACGACTTCACGGGCCACAATGCAATCTTCCTACCGGCTGTGTCTTTCAAGTTCAGCGACGGCTCCGTGTTCGACCTCAGCCCCGTCGCGATCTTGATATACCCTGATGACACGGCGCCCGCCACCGGCTGCTTCGCGTTCGTGCCGAGACCTTCGACGATGCCGTTCAACATCATCGGCAACACGCAGCAGCGGGGCACCGAGGTGATCTACGACGTTGGCGCGGAGAAGATCGGATTTGGCCAGTTCGCTTGCTGATTTTTAATATAACTCCTCGATGATAAATATATAATATTCAGTGAAGACAAGGGTTGTGTCGTTGGAGTCATTTTGATATGCTCTTTCTTGTCTTGTATGATTTACAGATAGGAATAAAATGAGCGAGCTGCAAGTTCTGAGTTTCCGCACAGTATTGCTTTGGTCTGGCTATAAAAATCTATCTAGCAGGTAACCCAGCGTGTTGCGTGGGAAAAAATAAGCAAAAAACGAAAAAAAAATTATCTGCCAGTAGGTAAGGTACAAAAAAACAGAAAAAGGAAAAAAATAGATACTAGGTACCCGTGAGCAGTTCAAATCTCTTTTAATGATACGAGTGGTTTTGATTATGGGGGATAGTAAAGAATAAAGGGGGAGAACCCTATTTTCGGAGATGGTCCAAGAAAAGGAGGAAGTGGATTAATACCACACAAGGGGACATTAGCATGGACAAGATATGTTCTCAAAGTTTGTTTCAAATAGTATCTTTTAGCATCATATGATTTTGCCTTTGCATTGTAACCTAGCAAGTATATCGCATTTTAATTTTTGTATCTATTATTTGCTTTCTTTGGTCGTGTTGTCATCGGTCACCAAAATGAGAGATTGTAAGGAATGGAGCTTTGGGCCATTTAGTTAGGATTTTGGTGTTTCAGGATCAATATGACCATTTAGACTAATATTGTTTGCTAGTGCTTTTGGATATAGTTCAAACGACGCAAAGTGGACTTGGACTTAGGCAACGTGGTGATACGGATGTTCAACACCTCAAGCAAGATATTAGAAGACATGTAGAAGACCTACAAGAACAAGCAAGAGTCCAAGACACAAGAGGGAAGAAGACTAGACGAACACTCGCGAAGAAACAACGGCAGCTGCAACTGTAGCACCGGACGTGTCTGGTGCAGGCAATTGGGGCACACCGGACGCCAAAGTGTGCACGAAGCAGTCACAGACGTTCACCAGACGTGTCCGGTGATGCACCGGACAGGTGCACCAAACTAGATTTCTAGAGACGATGCAAGAGGGTTGGAGAAGGTCACAATGCACTGGACGTGTCCGGTGGCGCACCAGACATCACACCGGATGCCCGAGTCTCCAACCGTCGGCAACGGCTAGTGCCCAATGGCTAGCTAACGTGGACGCATCGGACATGTCCAGTGCCTGCACGGAAAGTTTGTGTAGCCTTCAACGGCTAGTTTCAAGTGAGGGGCTATATATGTTAGATTGATCTCCCAGCCAATAAGCCCAACGGCCTATTGGGCCTTGGTCACACGCCCTGATCGGGGGCGCCCAACCCTACATGGTTGGTGGGCCCCCGTCGCACTGCGCTATATAAAGTGGTGGGGGCCAGCGGCTCGAGGTACGAGGTTCACCGTGAGCCAATCCGCCCCACCAACAAGCCCTAAGTCCGATCTAGCAAGGGTGCACAGCCAGCGACGGGAAGACGCCACCGTCATCACCGTCGGCTTCACTGCACATCACCCCGTCGCCGGACTTCACCGACTCTTCCCTGACCGTCGCTGCCCGTGCGCAGCCTACACCAGCGAACCTGATGGAGGCCACTGGATCTTCCACCCCTGCGGTCTCAGGTTTGGTACCTTTTCCCCTTCTCTCCCTGTCTCTCTCTAGACTGTTCTAGATGTATTAGGATCTACCGTTTTACATGTTATACCGAATAGGACAGTCAAAGGCTAGATCTATGATCCAACAGTTTTAACATTGGTACCAGAGCCAAGGTTTAGGTATAGATCTGGCTTAAGGAAATGAAATGCAGTGCGGTTTTAGAAAGTAGAAAGGAGCTTCGGCCGACAAAGGGTTCGGTTGAACCCTAACTTCGATCCTTTTGGATCTGAGAAAAGTTTTTAATTCGGGAAAAGTGAAGAACAGATACAACCAAACCCTAGATCGGGTTTTGGGACAGAGATGATTACATGGTTTCATCTGGAAACCGAACATCAAAATCGTGAAGAAATCAATTCGGGGAAAAGATAAATTGTGCCATCCCTAACCCTAATCGGGAAATCAGATGAAATCCGAGCAAAACGAATCAAAGCGAAAGCGAAAGGCGAAGAAGGGGAAGGGGGTGGCTTACGCTCGCCGTGCGTCTTGCGTTAACATCACCGCGACGCTGGGAAAAGAAAGGCCCGGCCGGGCTCTGCTCGCCGCCAGATCCGCCACGCGAAGCGCCGTGGCAATAAGCCGCTCGACGGCGGGCGCGCTCCACCATTGGGAGTCGACGACTGGCGAGGGGGGCCGGCGACGGTGCCGGGGCTCGCTGCTTGCTCTCGCCGTGGATTGCTCGCTCGCTCTGTGCTGTAGTACTGAGGAGAGAAGAGAGAGCTGTGAGGCGAAGAGAGAGAGAGAGAGAGAGAGAGAGCGAATGAGAATGGACTAGGGTTTCTGATCGGGGCGGCCGCGGTGGGTTTTTCATCATCCGAACTCACCGCTCGGCCGTCGGATCTGAACAGACGGCTGAGATCAAATGGGCCAACTCATGCCCAGGGGTATGCATGGACGCTATGAAGCTTTTGCTGGCCCAGCCAAAGTTGCGGCCTGGGTGCGGCTTTCTGTAGCGATGCGATGATGGGCCGAGCCGGTTTTGCCGGTTTTTGGGCGTTTGCGCTGCTATGGGCCAAAATGGCCGAACACAGTGAAATTGAATTTGTTTTATTTTTTCCAGAAACTTTTGATACATATTTGATGAATTACAATGTCCAACTCTACACAATTTTGATCCAACGATAATTTTGTTCAGAGAAAAGTAAAGTTCTATAAAGTTTCTGGAAAAATAATATTGACAATATTTACGTTTTCCGCTGCGTATGTAAAGATGTAATTTTCATTATTAAATTCGAACCAACGGGAGAATTTAATTTTGAAAAATATATATGTTTTAATTGATTATAATATTGTTATTATTCTGACCAACGTTGATTAATGGCAATATTATGATATTTTGTCTTGCATCAATTCTATTTTCTACCCAACAGTGATATAGAATTAATGTAGAGAACAATTGTATGTTTTAATTTTGACCAGCGTTGAACTAAGGCATGCAATTGTTGTTGTTATTATTTGTGTTCTCACACTATTTAAATTATGTTTTCAGGCGGATACAACTTGATGAGTTGTATTAAAGAGATCCCCACTCTAAAAGGGGATAACTACAATGAATGGAAGAAAAAGATCGACTTGGCCTTCATATTGGCTGAGGTGGACTGGGTAGTCACCACACCGTGTCCCAAAGAACCTGTGGCACCGGTGAGGGAGACTGATGAGACTGATGCTGTATGGCAGAACAGAGAGCGGGACTTTGCTCCCGTAAAGATGTCTTTTGACCTTGAAAATAGAAAGTGGGTCACAGCCAATAAGAAATGTTTGGCTGTGATAAAGAATACAATTGAGCCTGCAATAGTGGGATCAATTCCAGACTGTGACACGATCACAGAGTACCTAGAAAGAATAAAAAGTTAGTTCACTGGCTCTTCAAAGACATATGCAACCCAGCTGATCAAGCAGCTGGTCACAGAAAGGTACTATGGTGGCGGCAGTGGCATTAGAGAGCACATACTGAGAATGAGCAATTTGATATCTAAGCTCAAACCAATGGATTTGGCACTCAAGGATGAGTTTCTTATTCATTTGATTTTTGCTTCTTTGCCAAAAGAATTTGACACCTTTGTTGTTAATTACAACATACAGCCTGAGAAATGGGATTTAGAAAAGCTCATAGCCATGCGTGTGCAGGAGGAGGAAAGAATAAAAGTTTCGCAGGGTGGTACTGTCAACTACCTAAAAGATAAGAAAAAGAACTATAATAACAACTCTTCCTCTAAGTCATCTGGAAAGTGTCCCATGCAACAGTCTCAGAGCAAGCAATTCCCAGTGGATAAAGACCAGTGTCTCTACTGTAAGAAGACGGGATATTATAAGAAGAATTGTCCCGATTTCCTAAAAATGATTATGAAAAATAAAGGTGAGAACATTATTACGTTCGTAAATGAATCCTTGTATGTCAAGTTTTTAAAATCTACTTGGTGGATTGATTCAGGTACAACTATTCATGTTGCTAATTCATTACAGGGATTCCGTTCGATGAGAACTTTGTAAAGAAGCGAAAGTTTCATTAAAGTTGCAAATGGAGTACAAGCAGATGTTGAGGCCGTTGGTGATCTTCCGCTAGAGCTTGCTGATGGCTTCATACTTTTTCTTAGAGATGTTCTTTATGTACCTTCTTTGTAAAGAAACTTGATTAGTGTATCAAAGTTGGACCATGATGGTTATGATTGCCATTTTGGAAATGGCAAATGTCAGATATTGTTTAATAATAGATGTATTGGTCTTGTCTTCCGACAAGACAAGCTTTATTTGTTATCACTTCGTGAAAATGTGAATTCCGTATGTGATGTGAATGAGAAGGTATCCTCATCGAACAATGCAAACAGAAAACGAAAGAGAGCTCACGATGCGTTGTCGAAATTATGGCACTATCGTTTAGGCCATATTTCGAGGGGGAGAATAGAAAGACTAGTTAAGAATGATATTCTTCCCCCATTAGAGCTATCAGATTTAGAACAATGTAGAGATTGCATAAAAGAAAAGTATTTAAAAAAAATTAAGAAAGATGCCAAACGAAGCGCAGGAATTCTATAGATTATTCACACAGACATATGTGGTCCTTTTCCTGTGAAAAATGTGGATGGTTATGATTCATTCATAACATTCACAGACGATTACTCTCGGTTTGGCTATATTTATCCAATTAAAGAAAGAACAGAAGCGTTGGATAAATTCAAAATATTTAAAGCAGAAGTTGAAAATCAGCATGATTTAAAGATTAAGATAGTCAGGTCTGACCGTGGGGGAGAGTACTACGATCGGCATACCCCATATGGACAAGTTCCTGCACCTTTTGCAAGTTTCTTACAGGAGAATAGTATAATCACCCAGTATTCAACACCGGACGAACCTCAGCAGAATGGAGTAGCTAAAAGGCGTAA